GTTCCAGGGATTATGATTTCCTACATTGTCTGTGAGTAGGGTCTAACCTTGCCCTTCCCAAAGCCCTCTCCTTATCTTTTCCTGGACTGACCTACAGGGAGGACTGTGCTCTCTCTGCTCAGTTGCCCATTTACAGAGATTCCCGAGGGATGCTATAGTACTAGTAACATCGGAAGAGTCATCAAGGAGGAGGGCAGGGGATACAGCCTCAGGAAAGGACCTTATTTTCTTTCAGCCCTTTGTTTATGGACCAGCTGAATAAGGGCCCTTAGGAAATAAGCACAGGGAGCTCTGAGTGAATGCTCTATCCTCTAGTGCTGAGTATCCTGCTGTGGCCCCTGGTGGTTTATCATGAGCTGATCCAGAGGATGTACACTCGCCTCGAGCCCCTGCTCATGCAGCTGGACTACAGCATGAAGGCAGAAGCTGACACCTTGCATCATCACAAACACGACAAGAGGAGTAAGGGGCTCCTGTAACCTGGTGAGGGGAGGGGGGCACGGGGAGGACCTTAGCTTATGCTTCATAAAACACCATAGAATTTTGATATTCTCCAGTCCCTTGGCCAGGTTTGCCCCCCACTACTATCCCTGCTTGGTGAGTACCCTGGTGCTCTTGCTTCTCTAGAGCGGCAAGGGAAGAACACACTCCCCGGAAGCGATGAACCACTGGCAGACACAGAGAGTGAAAGCGAGGCAGAACTGGCTGGCTTCTCCCCGGTGGTGAGATCCAAAGGAGATGGGGTGTCAAGTAGAAGGTTGAGAGGAATCTGCTCTAGAACAGTTACCTCTTAAGCGTTGGGGGCTTGTAAGGGGGGTGCTCCTAGAAAACTGGTTCTCTTATCCCCTTATCTGTGTGTTCATCCTGGTTCTCCTGCAGGTGGATGTGAAGAAAACAGCACTGGCTTTGGCCATTACAGACTCAGAGCTGTCAGATGAGGAGGCATCTATCTTGGAGAGTGGCGGCTTCTCAGTTTCCCGGGCCACAACTCCACAATTAACTGATGTCTCTGAAGGTATGGGCAATCCTTTGCCCTTCCCGATCTTCCTGTTCCTGTTGTGAGATACTGACCGTGCTCTCTAATTGTTGCCCCATAACTGTTTTCTTTGGAGAATTGACCCTCTAATTCCACTTCAAGATCCTAAAAGACCTTAACACCTAAGTCCTAGCCCAGCATTCCATGTCTGAGCTCTCATTCTTTTTTTGTTTTGTTTTTTAAAAAAAATTTTAAATTGATTGCAGAGAGGAAGAGAGAGGGGGAGAGAGAGAAAGAGAAACCTCAATGATGATAGAATCATTGATGGGGTGCCTCCTGCATGCTCCCTACTGGGGATTGAGCTTGCACCCAGACTGGAATCAAACCCAGGATCCCTTCAGTCCACAAGTTGAAACTCTATCCATTAAGCCAAACTGGCTAGGGCCCAAGTTCTCAGTCTTGAACATATTGGCCTATTATGGCCATTCAGAATAGCAGGCTCATTCCTAACCCTTTGTTTTCTGCACAGATTTGGACCAGCAGAGCCTGCCAAGTGAGCCAGAGGAAGCCCTGAGCCGGGAGCTGGGGGAGGGAGAGGAGACAGAGATGGCCCCTCCTGAAGACCTGCTGAGCCCCCCTGAGGTCCTCTCAAGGCAAGACCTGGACTCAGAGGAAGAGGAGGAGGAGGAGGAAATTGTGGCAGCCAAGGAAACCTTGCTTCGGCTCTCATCCCCCCTTCACTTTGTGAACACACACTTCAATGGGGCAGGTTCTCCCTCAGTTGAAGTAAAGCTCTCCCCTGGAGGACCAGTGGAGACACTGAGCCCAGAGGCAGTGAGTGGTGACCCTGCCACGCCCTCAAGCACCCTGTCACCCCTACTTGGCCTGGCTGAAAGCGACCCAGTCCCTTCCATCTCAGTGCTCCCACCTCTTCCCCAGGACTCTGCCCAGCCCCTGCCTGCCCCTGAGGAAGAAGAGGCACTTGCCTCTGAGGACTTCGAGTTGCTGGATCAGGGGGAGCTGGAGCAGCTGAATGCAGAGCTGGGGTTGGGGCCAGATACATCCCCAGAGCTCCCTGATGCTCCACCCCTAGGGCCCAACACCCTTTCTCTGCTAAAGTCAGACCAAGAAGCTGAGACCATGGCAGAGCCATGAGCCATGGAAGAAATTGCAGGCACAGTAATAAGGCTTCCTGGCTAGGGCTGTCACTGCTCTCCTTTCTCTACCATTAGGAGTGGCTGTAGGTGGGGAAGTTGGCTGTCAGGTGATAGCTAGTCCACTTTCTACCTACCTGCCTGCCTGTTGTCCCAGGCCTGGGATTGGTTTTAAGTTTGTAAATAATTTTACATTTGGGTTAGTGGATGTGAACAGGGCTAGGGAAGTTCTTCCCATAGCCTGCACTTGCCTCCCTGCCTCATCTCTATTCTCATTCCACTCTGCCCTAAACCCTGGTGGTCTATCTTTTTCCTCCTATCCTCAGGGACCTATGCCGGTCTGTCCTTGTGTCCCACTTGTTTAGACACTTTATCACTTTTCTCTCCTGTCCTGTGCTCTTCTCTGCTTCATTTCCCTACTGTGTCTTGTCCTTAGCAGCTCAATCCTCACTCCGCCAGCTCCTCCCTGGCTAAAACTTTAAGGAGGCTCCTGTTTGGGAAGTGCAGACTAAACCTGGGGTGGTGGGTCAGACCAGTAGTTGAGCACTTAGGTCACTGAAGCCTGTGGATCCTCCACTGCACCCTTGGCCTAGTTTATCCAGCCTTTTATATACAGGAGCAGAGCAGGGATCCCACAGCACATGGACCGGCACTGTGTTAATGAGCAGGAGCTCTGTCTTGTTGGGAAGAGGGGCTTTCTTACTGTTCCAGGGAAGAAAAGAAGACCTGTACCACTGGGCCATGAATAGTTCAAGTGTGGTGGGACCCCCTACTAGAGTGAGGAAGTGACAGTAACATCTGTGCAGGTGTTGGTTGGAGAAATAAAATATTGATTGGCTAGCACTGCTGTTGCCTACCTGCTTGCCTACCTGAACTGCTTGCTACACTCTGCTCTGTGCCATCCTCACCCCTTACCTCCTTGTTACAATCTTATTCCTGGCTGTTTATTTACCTGGTGCAAAACAAGGCCAGAAACAGGGATTACCCACCAGCCCTAGCTATTTTCCCTGATGGGGTTATGTGTTTAGTGAGATTTAGCATATATGAATAAAGTATGCAGGAAGAAATTGCCTCATTTTCCCAATCAGTACAAATTTGGTTCCATAACAGTTATTTTCTATTGTGTTTCCTACAGCCTAAATACTCTTACCCATCTATATGCAATAACTCAGCTCTGGATTATATATACAAGAGAGACCAAACAAGCAAGACATATACCTGTATCAAAATTGATTTCAGACCAAGTAACACGAAAGAAATAGTATCTATTGCCTGGCCTGTGTGGCCCAGTTGGTTGATTAGCGCATTATCCCATGCACCAGGAGGTTGCCAATTTCATTCCAGGTCAGGTTACATGCCCAGGTTGTGGTCTCAATTCCCAGTAGGAAGCCAATTGGTATTTCTCCCTCTCTAAAAATCAAAACATGCCGAAACCAGTTTGGCTGGGTGGATAGAGTGTTGGCCTGCAGACTGAAAGGTCCTGGGTTCGATTCCGGTCAAGGGCATGTGGGCACATCCCCTTGTGGAGAAATAAAATATTGATTGGCTAGCACTGCTGTTGCCATGGGGGGTATGCAAGAGGCAGCTGATCGATGTTTCTCTCACCGGTGTTTCTAACTCGCTATTCTCCCTTCCTCTCTGTAAAAAAATCAAAATATATTTTAAAAAATAAAAACATTTTTTAAAGAATAGAACTACCACTAATTAAATACATAAAATGTGCTTTGCACTTTTCTAAAATGAGTTGATACTTGTTTTTCCCCCTCACAATCCTGAGATACATACTGTTATTCACTGTATTTTGTACACACACTTAATATTCCAAAGGCCACAGTCCGCGCCGAAACCAGTTTGGCTCAGTGGTAGAGCGTCGGTCTGCGGACTGAAAGGTCCCTCCTTCGATTTCAGTCAAGGGCAAGTACGTTAGTTGCAGGTGCATCCGATGTGCAAGAGTCAGCTGGTCGATGTTTCTCTCTCATCGACGTTTCTAGCTTTCTATCCCTCTCCCTTCCTCTCTGTAAGGAAAATCAATAAAAAATATTTAAAAAAAATAAAAATAAAACCAGCACTGTAGGTAATTCACATTCACACTGAAGTCATACCGTTCAAGGCATTGTAAGGCACTGTGCTGGGTGCTAGGAACCTAACATAACCAGGTAGACGTGGCTCCTGACTTCCCAGTATATTTGTGGTGTTAACAGCTTATTACAATAAGATGACACGGCCAAAACCGGTTTGGCTCAGTGGATAGAGCGTCAGCTTGCGGACTGAAAGGTCCCAGGTTCCATTCCGTCAAGGGTATGTATACCTGGGTTGGGGGCACATCTCCAGTAGGGGGTGTGCAAGAGGCAGCTCATAGATGTTTCTCATCAATGTTTCTAGCTCTTTTTCCCTCTCTCTTCCTCCCTATAAAAAATCAATAAAATATATTTAAAATAATAAAGAAATTTTAAAAAAAGATGGATGCTAGAACAGAACCAGGGAGGTCACATAGACGGTGTGCTTAGCTCAGACTGGGGATGGTGAGGGGAGCCTTACAGAAAGGGCGTCAGAGCTAAGCCTGGAAGGAAGGATCTGCAGCTCTGGAGAGAAATCTGTACTGCAGAGAAATATGGGAGTCAGCTGGGGAGAGTAAGTGCAGCCGTGGCCGTGAATGAAATGGCTAGGACTAGGTATAGAGTGAGAAGTGAACGAAGGACCGTCTTGTGAAAGACCCCAAACCACTCTAATCCTCCTTACCCCACAAACCACCTGTTCTCGGCTTCGCGGGTCCTTAAGTCCGAGCACAGTCCCCAGCCAGGCCGAGCACTCACGGGCGGGGCTCGGCCTGCTGTGTCGCTCCCCACGTCGCCCTGCGACTGCGCGAGATGTGCCCGCCCTGCGCGATGACGTCAGTGCGCGTGCGCGCTGCGGGAGGAGTGGACCTTTGGGCGAGGAGGCGCAGAGGCTCCGGTACCTCGGCTAGGTAGGTAGAGGATGGGGAGGGACAGGGAGCCCCCCAGAGTCCGGGATCGCAGTCCGGACCCGGAGCGGGAACCCTAGAGGTGCTCAGCATCGCTTCTCCCAGCAGGCCCCGCTCGGCCCAGCGATGGAGTTTCCGGATCTCGGGGCGCACTGTTCCGAGCCGAGCTGTCAGCGCTTGGGTGAGAGCGGAGCGCGAGGGGGTGGGACCGGGTGGAGAGGGGCTTGGAGCTGCCGAGGAAACGTCGGGTGGGCTCCGGGGGCTGGAAATGCTGGGAGGGGCGGGCTCGAAGGTGAGACGGTGTCAAAGGGGGCGTGGCTAGGGAGAGTGGACTAGAGCTGGTGGTTTGTTGCAAGCAAAGAGGTGTTTTCCTTCCTCCGAGTAAGAGGCTTGACTGACGCGGAATGATGTCAGGGTCCCGCTGGACCTGCACTCTGCCATATCCCCTGCAGATTTTCTGCCGCTCAAGTGCGACGCCTGCTCAGGCATCTTCTGTGCAGACCATGTGGCCTATGCTCAGCATCACTGTGGATCTGCTTATCAAAAGGTGAGGGGGCAGTCTGAGGATGATGAAGGATGCATGCAGAATCCCTGCAATTCCTCTGCCTCCTGCTTCCTCTTCTTTATTATCTGAGTTTTTTCTCAGGACCAGAGATTTGGTTGAAGTGGGAGTGGGTCACAGACTGAGCTCTGTTCCTTAACTATAGGATATCCAAGTACCTGTCTGCCCACTCTGTAATGTGCCTGTGCCTGTGGCCAGAGGGGAGCCCCCTGACCGTGCTGTGGGGGAGCACATTGACCGAGACTGTCGCTCGGATCCAGCACAGCAAAAACGAAAGGTAAGCATTGAAGGGGTTGGCCATGACCCAGCTGGGCTTATGGATGCCTGGAAATCTGAACAACTATTTTTTTTTTTTTTGATTTCAGAGAAGAAGGGAGAGGGAAAGAGAAACATCAATGATGAGAATCACTGATCAGCTGCCACCTAAATGCCCCCCCCCCCCCACTGGGGATTGAGCCTGCAACCCAGGCATGCATCCCCCGCCCTCCCCCCCCCCCCCCCCCCCACAGGAACCCAACCTGGGACCCTCTGGTCTGCAGGCCGATGCTCTATCCACTGAGCATAACTAGTCAGGGCCTGAACAACTATTCTTTTTTTTTCCCTTTTTTTTTTTTTTTAATATATTTTATTGATTTTTTAAAGAGAGGAATTGAGAGGGAGAGTTAGAAACATCGATGAGAGAAACATTGATCAGCTGCCTCCTGCACACCCCCCACCGGGGATGTGCCCGCAACCAAGGTACATGCCCCTGACTGGAATTGAACGTGGGACCCTTCAGTCTGCAGGCCGACGCTCTATCCACTGAGCCAAACTGGTTAGGGCTGAACAATTATTCTTCTTGGGTTGGAAAGGGGGTCAGAGTTTCAGCAGAGACAAACCTTCCCAACTTCACCTCAGATCTTCACCAATAAGTGTGAACGCGCTGGCTGCCGGCAGCGGGAAATGATGAAACTGACCTGTGAACGCTGTGACCGAAACTTCTGCATCAAGCATCGTCACCCACTGGACCATGATTGCGCTGGGAAGGGGCACCCAACCAGCCTGGCAGGGTAATTGCAGCCAAGTCTTCTACTTACCTATGGGACTGTCCCATCCTTCTGAACTGACTCAGTCTTTTTATTTTATTTTTATTGCTTTCAGAGATGGAGAGATAGAAACATCCAAGATGAGAGAGAATCATGGATCGGCTGCCTCGTGCAAGTCCTCCACTGGGTATCAAACCAGCAACCTGGGCATGTGCCCTTGACCAGAGTCAAACCTGGGGCCTTTCAGTTCACAGGCCAATGCTCTATCCACTGAGCCAAACCAGCTAGGGCTGACTCAGTCTTTATAACTACAAGCTGGGAAGTTTGAACCCTGTCCTCTTTTTTAAAAATATATTTTATTGAATTTTTACAGAGAGGAAGGGAAAGGGAAAGTTAGAAACATTGATGAGAGAGAAACATCAATCAGCTGCCTCCTGCACACCTCCTACTGGGGATGTGCCCGCAACCAAAGTATGTACCTTTGACCAGAGTCGAACCTGGGACCTTTCAATCCGCAGGCCACTCTATCCATTGAGCCAAACCGGTTTCGGAAAACCCTGTCCTCTTTGACTAGGGAGTCTTAGCTTCCTTTCCAGTGCATATTTTTCCAGATTGTTTGGAGGAACTCCCTCCTGAGTTCTCTAGTAAGGCCTGGGGGGGGGGGGGGGGAGCATGCCAGCTGATTACTCTAGGACACATGCCAAGAATGTCTCTTCCCTACAGACTTGCTGCTATCTCTAGAAACCAAGGTCTGGCTTCTACAAGCACCGTCCCCAGCCCAAGTCAGACCTTGCCTTCATCTCCCTCTCCCAGCAGGTAGGCCTCCCCATTTCTTCTCTCCCTTTTCCTCCTTCATATCTCTGACCTCTGCGTCTTATTTTTCTTTCTTTTGACCTCTGCCTTCTGATTGTCTGCCTTAGAGCCGCAGCCCAGTCTCCATCATGGACCGCCCCTCCAGTGATTGCTTTGCAGAATGGCTTGGTGAGTTGAACAGAAGTTGAAAGGACAGAAGCAAACACACAGAGTCAAATCCAAGGCAACTGGTCTTGTTTTTCTTTTTTTGCAGAGTGAGGATGAGGCTCTGCAGCGAGCCCTGGAATTGTCCCTGGCAGAGACCAAAACCCAGGTCCCAAGGTATCTACTCTCTGGTGAAAGAGGAAGGGATGTGGGAAAGAGATAGGTGGGATGAACTCTGATCTGTTGCAAGATAATAGTTAGGCCTGGCCAGCATGGCTCCATGGTTGAGCATCGACCTATGAACCAGAAGGTCACTGTTTGATTCCCAGTCAGGGCACATGCCCAGGTTTTGGGCCTGATCCCCATTTGTGGGATGTGCAGGAGGCAGCTAATCAATGATTCTCTCTCATAATTGATTTTTCTCTTTCTCCCTCTCCCTCTCTGAAAGCAATGAAACTGTATTAAAAAGGAAAAGATAATTGCTAGATACTTGGGTCTAAATTAAGCTTACTAACTATAAATTTGACAAGTTTTTTTTAACCCAGTACGGTCTTAATTTCTTCTATAAAATGGGATCATACTAATACCTACATTGTAGAGTTGTATAGAAATTAAGATAATATTCAAAAGTGTTCAGCAAAAAAAAAAAAAAAAAAAAAAAAAAAAAAAAAAAGCGTTCAGCACAATGATGCCTAACAGATCAGGTGCTTATATTTTAGATAATATTGTCATGCAACTTAAGCTGCTCCTCTCTCCCAGTTCTCAAGAGGAAGAAGACTTGGCTTTAGCGCAAGCACTGTCAGCCAGTGAGGCAGAGTACCGACGGCAGCAGGTATGAGGATGGGGTAGAGATGGGGTCGTGCGCTGGGAGGGAGTAGGGAGTTTTGGGGGCGGTTCTTCTAAGTGGTTGAAAGTTTTGGAATGGTGGTTATCTTTTTCAGTATGACTCCGGCCCATGCTGAGCTTGGAAGTGAGGACTGCCCACTCATTTCCATGACATCACACCTGTCTTCTCCTCCCCCTCTCCTTGCTCCAGGCCCAAAGCCGAAGCCTGAAGCCGTCCAACTGCAGCCTGTGTTAGGGCCTTGGGCTTGGGGGGGGGGGAGACTTAGCTGAGGAGGACTGTGGCCCTCACATCTCTAAGGTCCAAAGGGAGAGGAGGCCAAGAGCAGCCTGCAGTGAAGATGAGGAGTGACTGTTTCCAGGGAGCATCAAGAGAAACAGCTGTAGGACTCAGCCTATAGAAGGCCCTGCTGGCCCTCCAGCTGCGTGGGAGAGAGCAGCTGTGACTGTTCCCTGATTGGGCCCTTGGAGGATGCTGGCCAGGCCCCATTCAACTCCTTGCATCATGTCATCCCCCTCACACTGGGGCTGCCTGCACGTGTAGGGACAGGGAGGGTCCTGGGGAGAATAAAGCATAGTGGTAGTTAATAACACATCCAAGTGGTGTGTTTCTTTCTCTTTTCCAACCAAAACCAGTACAGTCCTGTCAAGAATGCTCACCCAATCTAAGAGTAGAGGCCTACTGCAATATGCCACATCAAGAAGTCAGTGTTCCCAGCACAGTCCACGCTTTTATTTCCCCAAAAATAACTACTGAAAGGTCCCTTACCCCCACTTTGGTTAGCACAGCACCCCGAGGCCGGGATAAACCATGCCATGGAAGAAAGGTACATTTATTCCCTTTCAGTGACCTTTTGGGAAGGAAGTAGCCACGACTTGGGTCACCATGCTTTAGGCTGGGTTGTGGTATCTTCAGCGATTTCATCCTGTCCCTGCTGCTGTAGCCGCCACATATCCGCATACATCCCGCCTCGGGACAGCAGAGCCTCGTGCCTGGAGCCAGGAGGAAAGTAGTGTAAGTCCCAACTATCGGTTTTACCACAAGAGTCCTCGCCACCAGCCCACAGAGATAACGGATTTGGCGAGAGAGCTCCTTCAGAAATCCCTGGGACTTCACAACCATATCCTGGGCCCATGATTCAGAGGCCTGGCCCTGTTCACCCTGCTGTGCCCCTTACCGTCCTCTCTCCACAATGCAGCCATCCTTGATGACGAGGATCTGGTCAGCATTGACCACAGTTGAGAGCCTGAGAAGTCAGACACCAGTTACCCACTGCACCCCCAAAAGTGGCCCCGCCTCCTGCTGCCCCGGTCCTGTACCTGTGTGCCACTACAATGGTGGTGCGGTTGGCGCAGACTTTGGCCAGAGAAGACTGGATGGCCCTCTCATTAGATGTATCCAACGCTGACGTTGCCTACAGAGAGGGTCTGGGTGAAACAGCCCTTGCCACCCAAATTCCCAGTGGAAGGAGGATGCAAGCTGCTGGCAGAGGTCTCGGGTATCAAAAAGAACCTTGTTTGCACGTGAGAACTGTAAGGTGTTTTGTGAAGCATGGATTCCTGGATATCTCTCCCAGATGGAAAACGAATGGCATGGGCATGGAGGGGGGTCGGGGGGAGGGGGGCGCGGGAGGGAGGGGTGAAAACTGCCCAGGGCCCTCACCTCATCCAGCAGAATGATGTTGGGGTTCTTAAGAATGGTGCGGGCGATGGCGACACGCTGCTTCTCCCCACCGCTCATCTTCAGTCCCCGCTCACCCACCTGCGTCTCGTACCCTGTGGATATTGCCCACTTCCCTCAGGTCACACATGATAAACTTGGTTTCTGTGACCAGACAAGGCAAGGAAGGGATGGAACGGGGCAGAGGGAGTAACAGCCCAGGGCAAAACAGGGCCATGGAAGCTCACCCTCCGGGAAAGCCAAAATGGCATCATGGATGCCTGCAGCCTTGGCGGCAGCCTCCACATCATCATTCCCAGCTGTGATGCGGCCATAGCGAATATTGTTGGCAATGGTGTCATTGAAGAGGACGGTATCCTGGGGCACAACTCCAATGTGAGACCGGAGGGAGATCTGGGTCACCTGGGGCCAAGAGACCACATCCCCGGGCCTGTGAGATCCCCCCAGGCCTAGGAGGAAGGATGGGCTGGCAGAAAGCACATGGGAAGGCCCTGGGTAAAATTCCTGCCTCCACCACCCAAACCCTAGCTGTGTGGATGAGTTCCTCAACCTCTCTGAGTCTGTTTCCCCATCCCTAAAAGAGAAAAGACCCATTCTCTCCTGGCTTCCCTAGACTGCTGCAGATGTTTGTATCCTGTCCAGCACGGTTCATGACTCTTTCCTGTAGGTAAATGGTGTTAGAAAGGCTAAGGTCTCCTGCCCCAGCTTTGTGCAGAGGTAAGGTCTCCTCCTCTCCCTGGATGCTTAGCACTTCCCATTCTTTTACAGACAATGACATTTCCCTCCCAAACAACCTCACCTGTGAAATGTCCTGACCATCTATTCGGATGCAGCCGGAGCTGATGTCATAGAAGCGAAAGAGCAGACGCAAAATTGTGCTCTTCCCTGCTCCAGATGGGCCCACCTGTATTGGAAACAGAGGGTAACCCATTCTTAGGGCTGTTGGCTTTTAAGGCTTTTTCTCCAATAGAGCATCAATGACCATGGAGGCTGCCACACTCACACGTGACCAGACATGACAGGGCTCTCTAACTCTCAGCCTGGGTCACAAGCTACCATGGGCACTGGAATAAGGGAAGATGGAGGAGGCTGGGCCAAGTGGCTGGGTTTCCTCTTACCAGGGCCAGGGTCTGCCCAGGCATCACAGTGAAGGACACATCCTGCAGGGTCTCCCGCCTGCCAGGAAGAGCGGGTGTGGTCAGCAGGCCTGCTGCACTCCCACTGCCCCCTTCCATCACCAGAGCTATTACTCGGCCCTGACCCTCCTGAGTAGGCTCTCTTCCCAAGAAGCAGGGATGGCTAAGAAGCAGGGATGAGGGGCAGGAAGGCAGTGTGTAAGTAGAGTGGGGAAGGGTCCAGGGGACGGTAAAGGGGGAGGGGCTCACCCATCAGCATAGCTGAAGTGCACATTCTCAAACTCAATCTGGCCCCTCTGGAAGCGAATGGGCCCCGCTCCAGGAAGGTCCTTCACCTGGGAGAGTGTCACCACGGTGTGGCGCTGTTACAGGTCTGGTATCCTCCAGACACCACAAACACCACCACGCGGCTCCTCTCACTCCCTCAAGCCCCACTCCTCTCTCTTCACTCACTTCTGTCTCCTCCTTCAGCAGGTCAAACATGTTCTCCATATCAATGAAGTTGGTCTGGATCATCCTGCAAGCAGGTAACGGTTGGAGCTCCTCTGAGGAGCTGGGGAAATTATGCACTTCACAGGTGAGGGCCAGGGATCAGGTTACCTGTAGTAGGTGCCAAACCAGTTGAGGGGCATATACAGCTGGATGATGTAGGTGCCAAAAAGCACAAAGTCCCCAACCTGTGGAGATCCAGGGAAGAGGATCATGCACAAGAGGCCTTCAGGTTATTACTCTGCCCACTTCCTGTCATCTCTCTGCTTCTCACCCAGGAACCTGGTGACCAGACATAGAACCCAGGCTCCCTCTTGCCTGTCCCCAGCACAGTTCTCTCACCTGGAGCTTCTGCTCACTGACAAAGTATGCGCAAAGCAGCGAGCCAGCAAGCAGCCCACCTCCAATCACCAGGTTCTGAGTCTGATTTAGTAAAACCAGTGACGCGCTTGACTTCCACTCCAAACCCTGTGGAAATAACAAGGGAGAGAAGAATGTCACATATGCGCTGACCAAATCCAAACCTGGGCCCAGGCACCTTCAACCTCATAGCCCAAATTTTATTCTTCTTGGCTCTGGCAATTCCACAAGGCCAGGCCATTGCGGTCAGTAGGCCTCAAACTAGAGTGCTCACCTGATATTTAATGATGGCTTCTCGATAGCGTTCCACTTCATAACCTTCTGCATTGTAATACTTCACCTGATGAATTCAAAGCACCGTTTGACATGGCTGCAGCATTCAGCACCCGAATCATTGCTTCCAGATCCCCAATCCCTCCTTCCTTCCTAATTTTAAACATCTCGTATCCCGCAGCTCTTCTGGAGCCTCGGGGGTCCCAGGCACAAGCCTCCATATTTCCATGCTTCACACCACTGCCACTGAGGCCTCTGTTACCGTTTCAAAGTTTAGCAAAGAGTCCACGGCTCGTGCCCGGGTCGCATTTTCCTGTGCGTTCATATCACGTCGAAACTTCGTTCTCCACTCAGTGACGACAATGGTTAGGGCTACAGCATGAAAGGAGGGAAAAGGAGCAAAGATCAAGACAACATTTTCAACAGCAGAAACCACATATGTATGTCTGCTGCCTTCTACACACTAACTCTATGTTACATCCCAGGGACCTGAGTTCTAAAGGGAGAACGTCCTAAGCTCCCTGAGGGAAGAGGCTGTGTCCAAGATACCTTTGCAGCCTGTACAAAGCCTCATCTGTGAAAATGCTTTTGATGAGCAAGTCAAGGCAAGCTGCATTTGTGACATAGTGAGCTTTCTCCTTGACTCATATGCACAACGAGGACCTAATGTGACCACAACGCCCTGGTCCTCTACACAGGTTAAGCTAAAGTTTCTGTGGTAGAGGAATATGCCCATCCACCATTATAGGGGAGCTGAGGAAACTATTCAAATCCACTAATCTATAGTCTTCCAAACAAGGTCACCCAAGTGGGGTCAGAGCTCATGCTCAGGGGATCCTTGGAGAGTTCAGGGAGCTGGTTTCACCAAGCGGCACTCACTGAGGTAAAGACTCATGCACAGGAACACGATGAGGCCAAACCAGGCGTTGAAGAACATGCTGAAGTAGATGATGCCAATGATGATGTCAGCCAGTGTGGGGAGAACGTTGAATACCAGGTAGCTGGGAGGGGAAGTCAAGTGACAAAGAGAGGTATATGGGCTCAGAGCCAGCAACTCCACCTCTAGCAGTTTCAGTGTGGTGTTTTGTTTTCAACAGCAACAGACTGCAATCAAGCTAAATGCCTCTCAGGAGGTGGATGGCTACAGTAAACACGGCATGCTCCAACTACAGAATGCTCTGGGTCTATCATAATGAAACAGGGAGATGTATTTACGCTCCAACGAGAATACATCTCCATAACATTTTTGTTAATAATGGGATTGTAAGGCCCTAGTGGTCTGGCTCAGTGGATAGAGTGTCAGCCTGAGGACTGAAGGGTCTCGGGTTCGATTCCAGTCAAGGACACATGCCCAAGTTGCAGGTTCGATTCTCAGTGGGGGGTGGGCAGGAGGCAACCAATCAATGATTTTCTCTCATGGATGTTTCCATCTCTCCCTTTCCCTTCCTCTCTGAAGTCAATAAAAATATATTTCAAAAGTAAAAAAAAATAATAATAATGCAACTCTGAGGATGATGCCTATATTGTGATACCACTTGTTTTAAGAAAAACCTTCACAATACCGCTTTAGTTCTGGGAGTATGCACATATACATGTAAAAATGCCAAGAAGCAGAACTCAACATACTAAATGCAGTGGGAACCTCTGAAGA